ACCAAAAAGTACCGCTAGGATCCGGTATCTCTCCAACATCTATTTGAGCTTGTATCCATAAAATTGTGTTTAGTTTTCAAGTGTCCTTAACATCATCCCCCCCCCCCAATGCTTAGAACAAGTAGCAATGCATGCATCTTTATCAAAATTAAAAAACTTCCATACATGTGATATTCTCAGACGTATTGCCGTAGCCAGAGGCGGACCCAGAATTTTAGCACGATGGGACCATCATTGTATGCTAATCACTAGCGATAGAATTTGACATGCATCTCTTTGAAAACTTAATGATTATGATGACTTATCATCCAAGTATAAACAAAAAAAAAGTTCTAAAAAAGAAAAGAAAGCATCAAACAGAGAGAGAGAGATTTCTTCGCAAAATGGGTGCTATGGGAAGAAAAGGAATAAAATTAATTAAGTTGACTATTGTGTATTAGTACTAAACTATAAATAAATTCAAAAAAAAAAAGATAAAAGTAAAAAATAAAGTAATTTGCTATTAAATATAAATTACATTGTATTCAAAGAACTAAAATATTAATTAAGTTGACTATTATATATTAGTACTAAATTATAATTGAATTCAAAAAAAGAGATAAAAGTAAAAGATAAAGCAATTTGCTATTAAATATAAATTACATTGTACTCAAAGAATAAAAATAGAAATGAGGAGGAAAAAGTTGAACGTAGGTTTCGAACTTGCGTCACCAGCAAAGTTGGGAATTTAAGTGCTCAAAGCAACCAGTTCTTTCATCTGCCTCTTTGTTTCTGGGGGCACACTTAAAATATTTAAGGGGTCCCATATAAATGTATATATATATATATATATATATAAAATACTATATACATGCTTTTTGCAGAGGCTAACGAGGTCACGTGACCCCTCAACCCTTAACGTAGGTCCTCCTCTGCCAACAGGACGATGCCACGTGTCTCTCTGGAGTAAATTTGAACCCAAAGTTTGACTGCAGGGATATAGATAACCCAATAGTATAACAAGAGGTATTCTTAGACCATTTTCAAAAGTATATTAGTATATTGGCCTTTGGCGTTTATAATAACTAGACTCTTAAATGACCAAGATTTTATTTACCGTTGAAATTTATTTGAGGAGGACCATGTACACAGTGTTACTTTGACCAAATATAGCTAGTAGACAGACTTAAATAATCAAACCAAACTAGTTGACTAAAAACATGGTAAAGGCATAAAAAATACTCATTGCTTAGGTTGAAAACTTAACTGCGTGTTTTATCATGTCAAAGATGTGTAAATTAAAATCCTATTACTAGATGCGTACTGGGGAAAAATATAGGAGAACAATCGTGTTTATTTTTACTTTATGACATAGATCGTCCAATGGAAAAGTATCTCCCTCTGGGATGCTGAAATATCGAAAGTCAAATGCGTTAGAAAAAGTAAGTTGCGTTCCTACTTCCCAAATAGATTTAAAAATAAAAAATGAATCCTAACATACTTCCAAAAATACTTTGGCACGTGAATCATCGTGTTAAGATGTTGACTGGGTTCAAAGCTTTTAAGTATATTAAAAGATTTGCTAATGGTAAGCGTATCAATGACCTGAAAATATATTAAATGATAATTTAAAAATAGTCGGTAATAGATCGAGTAAATATTTTACTTTTTTCCATTCTTCCTAGAAAAAAGTAGAATCCGATATAAGAGAAAAATTAAGTAGATCCAATCATTTGTTTTAAACTTTGTATGTTACATTAGCATCAGAGTTTATTAATGTTGACACAAACTCGGTCCGTAGGATCCTACTCTTCTCTAGACAATACTGTTAGGAGCTAACTTAAAACCATTTTTGATCCCCGTAGGCCGTAGCTTGTATCTTAGGATTTTAAATCTTTACATCTAATTGCCTTTGATTAACTAAATTAGAATAGTGAAAGCACTGATCAACAAGACAAATGACTTACCCTTTAGCCAAATTAAGACAGTTTAAATACTTAATGACCTCTTCTAAGCCATACTTAGCATTCGTAACATAGACCTCAATTATGTCATTAGCCTTAGCTAGACGTGAATCCCTTAGACTAAGCAACATTTAGAACATTCGTTTTATCGAAAATAGACAATTTAGACTGATTAGCTCCTAGTCCTTGACCAATCTCTGTCCATAGACGAAAGTTTCCAAACTAATCTCTGTCAAATACATTAAAAATGACTAGAAATTTGTATTGTTTCAGAATGGAAAGCTGCAAAAAGTCCACATCTTCCAAACAAATCATTGGCATTCCATTTTTTAAAATTTTCACATCAATCATTGCACATGACAATAATATTCCATTCCACTCATCATCTGCTAATTACATTATCAAAGGAAACAAACAAAACTCTGTAACAGAGGAGAGCGGCAATGCAGAATATTGAGCTGGTAAGTCTGTTTAAAGCTTGAAATCCATTGTGCTAGCCATGTGTCCAAAAGAATAGGAGAGCATCTTTTCTTGTTTAAATACTCGACATGTTTTAGTACTCTGCTCTCTAACTTCTCCTTTAATTTTTCCCCTTATATGCAATGCACTTGTTCTATAATATGATCCTAGCCATCTAGCTACCTCTTTGAAGTAATAGAAAGAGCAAGATTCTCCATGTGCTAACTGACGGCACATGCATTCTTTCTCTTTTAACATCTTCTTTTGCTTCTTTCTTCTATAAATACTTGATTGGAGAATGTTATTTTCTGCAAATAGTCCAAGAATCATTTAAATTTTGAAGATATTATGTTGCCGGAGATGGGGTTTCAAGGAAGATATGTGAGACTTGGCGAAGTTGAAGATCTGAAAGTTGCAAGTAGGCCAAGAAGGTGTTGGCTAATCAAGAAAATGAATGGAAGATTGAAAGGTATCAAGTTATCCCGGTCTAGAAAGCTGAATTGGAAGGCATTTTCTATGGTAATATTGCCAAGGAGGATTGCTAGAATATATGGGGAGATAGTGAAAAGAATGAAGAATATGGAAGATGTATGTCCTGCCATTGTATTTTCTTGTCATTGGGGATTTCCTGTCCTTTCTCATTCCACTGTTAAATCCCGAAGGAATACCTTTTGATATTGGCTTTTACGCCGACTTTTAATCAGAAGAGTTTTATTGTTTATCAATACTACAACACATTGGAAAGTTAAAAGGTTCAAAAGGGTGTGTGTGTGTGTGTAATTGGAGTTCCATGTTTCTGCTCACAGCAGGTTATGGATACATTTACACCTCGATATGTTTCCTTTTTATTTTTTACTTTTCTTGATATCTTCAATGAATTGTTAAGTGGCTAACCTTTAAACTCCGTTCAAGAAAAAGAAGAGGGAATAAACTAAAAATCAGTAGTTAGCCAATAATTGCGATGAGGATAAACTTCAGTTAGTTCAAAAGATGGTGGATGCGGATTTAGATATTGAATGATTTAGTAGGCGTTTGGACATAAAAAAATGTGAGATTTGAAAAAAAAAAAAAAAAGTTTTTGAAGTTAAATTAGAAAAAAAGTATTTGAATATTGAAATTGTGTTTGGACATGCATTTTACTTGAAAAAATATTACAGTTTTGTGAGAGAAAAACATTGTTTACTTGAAAAAGACGTAAAAATCACCTTTTCAAATCTGAAACTCATCTTCAAAATTTGAAGCCCGTCTTTAGTACTTCAATTAAATATATAACCAACTGCTAATTTGAAAATATTTTTGGAAAATAGGAAAAAGAAAATTATGTCTAAACGGTTTAGTTTGTTGTTGAGCAACAAGAAAATGAGTACTTGAGTATAAAGTATTTTGTGACAATTTCTTTTTGTAGCTCATTAAGATAATCGTAGTTAAAAAGGTCATTATTACCCCTGCACTATTGTAAATAATATACGTTTGTCCTCCGTTTCACTTTACGTCGAGAACCCACCCTACCGTTAACAAACTTGATGGAATTGCCCCTAACCCTAAAGGATGGCCAATGTGGCAGCTGACTCACTCCTTTTTTTCCATGTCATCTGCCAAGTCAGCCTAGTCTCCACTCAACTATTCCCCTTCTCTTTCATTCTTCTTGAGTTACGACAAAAGCAGCGGCCAAAATGGTGGAACCTCTATCACTGGAAACTCCATCTCGTTGAAGGTCCATCTGAAACCATGGATCTGGTCGGATCTGAACGGATGTGACCGGTATGTCATTTGGTGGCCTTTCTTTTCTCTTAATCTGGCCAGAATATACAAACTCCAGTGACTGCTAAGTTTCCGGTGACTTTGTTGTTTTGGACGTCGCTCGTTAGCCTACTACTGTGATTTTTCTGTTGTGAAATTGGTATGCTTCGTCGATTGCTTGTGATTGACCATGATTTGGTGTCGCTAACACTTTCACTGTTTCTCCGTCTCTGGCCCATGATTTTCTCGACTGCTCTTGTTTGTCAGATGCTACGTCTTTGATGGTTGAAAATGTTGTTACTAAATTTTCAATTGTGATGTTGCTATAGTAGTCTGGACGTGCATTCTAATCTTGTGCTTAAATAAATTGTGGGTATAGTTTTTCCTAAGTCTCTATCTGATTGAATGATTATGAAAAAATATAATATTTTGAGGCCACCTGTGTTCGCCGTTGGAGAATTTTCTGATCTTTTATGTAGTTGTTTGGATTCACTGGTGCTATCACTCATCTCTGTTTCAAGTTTGGAAATTTAGTGGTGAGAATCTCGAAACCCACTATGGTGTGTTCTTTGGGTGTCGAAAAATTGAAGTTGACAATTCGATCCGTTGATTATATATGAAGGAAATCAGATGGGTGTTGTTGTTTGGAGCTTAAAATCGTGAATCAAACATTAATTTCGTGGATTTAAGTGAAGAACAAATTTTTACTCCATTTTTTGGGTTGCCGAAATTTGAAGTTAAAAAAAGACTCAAGAATCTGAAATTCTTGCTTGTTTCCTACTGAAATCGAGTGAAAAAAATTAAAAATTGGAGCTTGAAACGGGAAGAATAACATTGATGTGTATAGATTTGAAAAAAATTACCATTGAAGGATTTGTAAGAATGCTTGAGAACATAAAATGAATATTCTAATTTGCTGAAGTTTAAGCAAAGTGTTAGTTGGAATTTGTTGAGAATATTAATGTTGAGAAGTTATGCTTACAACTTGAGTCAGTTTGATGAAAAACGTGGCCTAGTTTGGATTGAAAAATTTGAAGCAAAGATGAAGAACTCATGGAAGAAGAAGAAGTAGGGAGTCGGGAAGAGGGGGGGGGGGGGGTTGGGGGATATGTTTTAATTTTTTTTTAATTGAGTAAATAAGTGACGTGGCAGCTGACATGGAAAAAATGAAGTGGGTCAGCTGCCACATTGGCCATCCGTTAAGGTTAGGGGCAATTCCATTAAGTTTGTTAATGGTAAGGTGGGTTTTGGATGTAAAGTGAAACGGAGGACAAACGTGTAATATTTGCAATAGTACAGGGGTAATAATGACATTTTTCCTAAAATATATATGTTAAAGGTTCCCTGGTGAGTACAATAGCCCCTCTCTATATACTTACTAATAATAGAAAAAATATAGCGGCGGGTTAGGAACATTTTGTAGCATTTACACGTTACTACTTCAAATAGATAAATAGCAACGATTTGGATACGTTTAGCAACGGTTTAAGACCAAATCAAGTAGAAACAAGAGATGTATGTGACTCAGGTTTGTTTAAACCATTAGTTCTTCATCTTTGCTTCAAATGTTTCAAGAGTATTTTACATCTTTGCATGAGTTAAAAATGTAAAATACATAGGATACATAGGAAACATTTAATTTGTTTAAACAAGAGTACTTTACATCTTTGCTTAAAAATGTAAAGTGTTTAAACCATTAATTGTGTTTTTGCAATAAAATAATTAGTCATACAAATGTCTCTAGTTTATAGCATGCATATTTACAATAGGAAAAGTTAATTTAAGGAAAGAATACACAAAATGTTTGGAATGATCCCACTTATTAGAAATGACATTACCATATGATATATCGATGAACCCCCATAATACATGACAATATCTTAAATATACTGCTCAATCAATTTTTAATATCTTCTCTAGAGAGTCAATTACTTACTTGACAATTCGTGTATTATATAAACTTTTCATACTTCAAATTGTTCAACCTCGGAAAATAGAAAAAGTATAGAGACAAAAATAGCTGGTTTTGCTTTATCGTACTGCCAAAGCTTGTTTGCGAAAGATTTTTAAGAAAACTGTAAAAAATAAGCTGAGCGAAAAGCGATCGAATTATAGAAGTAACTAATCTTATTAAAAATTAAAATATCGAATGTGATGCTATGTTGCAAATGGAAGAGATCAAGTTTTGGTCTTAAATTCATAGTGTTTATAGAATGAACTCTCCCTAAGATAGTTTTTTAATATCTTCTATCTTCTCCTTATGCTTGAGTTGGAAGAATCCAGTTAGATTTTCAAAAAAAACTAAGATGGTTTTAACATGAATAATGACAAGTGATTGTGAGGCCACTCTCTAATGTTCCTAATTTCTTCTGCAAAAGTTTAAAGCAGAAACAATTGATTTAGTAGTTACTTGGCCCATGTTGTCAAGATTTTATGGATCAATATGTCAGACCAATGGGCAACAACAACTGATTCGTGTTCATATGTTTAAGACTTTAAAGCTTGTCTTGGTGCTCCCACCATTTTTTTTCTATCTATTTTTCCCTTCCTTGCAGATACGAAAAGCAGGGAACATTAAAGCATAGCAGTATGGACAATGGACCTAATTCTTACTTTACTGAATTATATGTTCCACTTATTTTTTGTATTTTCCTCCATTTAATACTGTGACAAATCCGACCTGTCTTGATTGCAGATATGCCTGCAGATTGAATGTTATTGCTGAACATTTTGTGACCAGAACATAAGGTTTGCATTTGAAGAACATTGAGTTATAATTGAAAAAAAAAAAGAATATTTGAAGCTGAAGATTTTTTTTTTAAAAGTTAGAAGTCGTGTTTGAAATTGAACTTCACTTGAATAAAATTTTGCTGGCCTAGAAAATTTATATATGAAAGTTAAAAATACTTCATCCCGAAATAGTATTTGCAAATATAATTCAAGAGCTTGTAACTTTTTTTCAAAACTAACGAGGAAGAGTATAAAACACGAAGGGTGATGCCGTTCCATTTCATATACATTATCATGTGAGAAAGAGTGTAAAGTACGAAGGGTGATGCCGTACCATTATATATATATATATATATATATATATATATATATATATTATCATGTGAGTGAGAGTGTAAGGCACGAAGGGTGAT